ACTTTAATATTATGTTGAGCCACTCAAATCTCTGTGTGATATTCCCCGCATGATGCGTTAGTTGCATGCCATCGCAACGTAATATCCAGTATATTTGTATTCATTGCAGTCCACAACCTAAGTTAACTCAACCAATGCTAGAAAGATTTTTTTTCTCCTGGATAGATGTTTAAGTGAACGCCCTGTATATTTGTAACATGAAATATTACAACTATCCGAAAGACAAGATTTATTTTTTTATTTTTAGAAGAAACAATTTTCATAATTATCGACGAATTTAAGTGTAATTGTATCATTTCTACCTTTTTCCTTTGGTCCTATTCAAACTGAATTTGGGATCATACAGATTATCCAGATATTATATATAGGTGACTTAATTCAAACTGTTTTATTTTGGACTGCTCACGTTATTGAAAGCTAATATAAAATTATCTATGAATTAAGACACTTTAAAATTAATCTCGTTTTATAGTCTATGTGGAACTAGTATTTTCTACACATACCTTTTTTGAGAATTCTATAGAAAAATTATTAAAACTTTTATTAAATATGTTTCAGATTTACCTCAACTAAATCACCACCGACGATATTTAACCCATAACTTCCTCGAATAATTTCTAACATTTGTGACGGAGTTAATCCTGCTATTTCAGGAGTACCTAGGTTTAAATAACTTGTATTAATTATTCATTATCAAATCTATTATTTATTATACCTGTAACATAAAACATATTTTTTAATATAACATTAGAATTTACTGTATTCCTTAATATAAAAGATTATATTAAGAATATTTTAAAATATACTGTATAGTTTTTAACTCAATAAGTTTTTATTCGTTTATTTATTTTATTTTAATTTTTGGCTGTACAGTAGCGTTATTTGGAAATATGATTACTGTATAGCCCCATTACAATAAACACCTTTAAAAACCGACAAATAAATAATAAAGGAAACTCACAATAAAAAACAAGTAAAAACATTAAAATTCATTAGATTAAATTTGAAAACAAATTTTTACAATTTTTTTAAAGACACGAGAAATTCTTGTCACAGTTGAATTTCTACAAGATTTAAACTATTTGGAGAGTGGAAAATGAGATAAACTAGTGATGCGACAAAAGAGGTATTTGACATTGACCGGTATCGGCACCCAGGGGATTTGGCAGTCCGCGTGTATGCACGCTCTGCAACTGTCTTCGATTCCATCCATTATGCACTAGTAGGACACACTATCCATTATCCGCTAGTAGGACACATTATCCATTATCCACTAATAGGACACATTATCCCACGGGTTCCCAACCTATGGGTCGCGACCCAGAAGGGGGTCGCGACGGGCTTTCTGTGGGGTCGCCAACTTATACAGTTAACTAAAAAAAAATGTTCACTATAATGCAATTTTTATTTTTAATGGTGTCTTGAAGTTTGAATAATTTGATATACAGTCGATCCCCCTATAACACGGGTTCCTACAGTTCGGATTCCTATATGACGGCGAAAAATTTGCGACGGTGCCCGTACAAACATGGTAAAAAAACTCCTATAATTCGGTAAAACGTCATCGGGCAGCCAAACTATTTTCCGCCGTCCAGCGCCACGCTACAAAGAGTTTAGGCGGGTAAATTGAGTTTACTATCGTCTGTACAGTATGTAAATTAGGTACCGTAAGTCTAATACAGCACTAATTTTATACATTTCTTGTGAAAGAAACATTTCTTATTCAACGGCCATAAAAATTATTTATATTAATGATGTCTCCAAAGTTCAACGAAGTTTTCGCAGAAAANGGAGCTATTTGACTAAGTGCATTGTTTTAAGATTTAAAAAGTAAAGAATATTTTATATTTTTATGTACGTTTCTTTACAAAGCTATATTTAATTATAATTTTCTTTAAAAGTATATTCACACAATTGAAGAATATTTTGATATTTTGTACCAGGTATGTACCGGTACATCCATCACACATTTTATTTCACCAAGTAAGTTTTTATTATTTTATTTGTAATTGTAGCTTTTATATCGTGGCTAGCGATTCGGAATGTAATTGTGATATTAAAAATACATTTAGAAAAGTCTACGGTTTTTACTGGCTTATCGAATAAACGATACGAATGGACCCTAGACCATCACTGACACGCGATTGACTGATTGACCCTGGATGTCGGCTTCTTACAGAAACACAGCTTCCCTACCATCAAATGTCACGGCACGCCACTGGTATATTGACGAAAAATAATGAACTTAAAACTTTGTTATAAGATACTGTTTTGCAATTATTCCATAGCAACTCTCTTTTAACATACAAATTTTAAAATATATACTGATATGTAAAATTAAAATTAAAATAATCTACATATGAATCAAATTTAAATGTCATTATATTAATCATAATAATTATACAATTTTAATAAAGCATCCTAAAATATTAGAAAAACAATTTCAAAAACAACATTAGAAAAGCAGTTTGAATTTAAGTACCGTATTTTAAAAATTTAAACTTGATGCAATGGTTCGCATATAAAGATTTATCGTGTAACAAAAAAATTCTGCAAAATATTGTAAAGAAATTTCGAACTTAATGCCTAGAGAACACTCAAAATTCACATACTCAATTAATAAAAAAGAATAAAATAACTTAGTTTTTATATTTCATTTTAATCCAAAATATTATTGCAGATATCAAATGAATTTTATTCAATAATTAATAATCGCTATTAAGTTATTCTATATACATTATATTTTAGTTTATTCAAATCAGATCAATAATATAATCAATAAAATGGTTAAGAACTTTAAAACAGTAAGACAGTAATTTGAAGAAAACTAATACAAGATTCAGAAAAATTAAGTTATTAAGCTTAAATTCATATATTTAATATGTAAATATGTTTAAGGTCATCACTTAAGTATATAACTCAATAACCTGATTGAATTTATTTTAAATACATTTTATGATATTATAACAAACATTTAAATTATTAATAGAAATAAAGTTATAGTTTATAAAAAATGTGTATATTTCTTGAAAAACCTATTATTTATTTTATTACAGCCTTAATTAATTTAAAACCTAGTACAGTTTTAGCTTTAGCTTTACATCTATTTTTGTAGTAATTTAATACTTAGTTTGTGTTATTTCTTTGAGCTTTTGTTTAACAGTAATAAATAAGTCTACCTTTTGAGTCTGTGATTATAATATTATATCACCTAAAATAATATTTTTTCTTTCTAATTTATTTTCCACATTTGTCATTGAAAATTTGATTGTTTTCTTGAATAAGATCTTGGTACAAATGAACCCATATTAAATTTAAATGTATAACTATTTACAATTTTTTTGTAAATTCTTCATCTAGTCTTGAATGTTTTTATATTAACGAACGAGCGCAGATGAATTTTCTCTCTTAATCGTTTAAGCTCTATCTAAAATTAGGCTAAAATATACGGGAGAAACGGAATGATTCTCAGATATTTAAATAAAAAACTTAATGAAGTTTTCATAAGGACTATGAGCAGTGCTGTAATCAGTCTTTCTTGTGCCCCGTGTAAGATTTTATTTTTAGCACCTCTTTTTTTGGAAACATATAAAAAACGAGCAATTATTTATTGTGGCATCGTCGGGCTGCAATTTTTATTCATGTTTTTTTTTTTTTTAAATTTATTTAATTTAAAATATATGCTCTCCGCCTCAAATTAGTAGTGTCTTACCCCTGTACTGTACATCATATTTTTCCTGTTAGCAACAGAGTCGTGCCGCATGTATCTAACTGCTTTCGGGGAAAAATTTCTGAATTGAAATAACACTTCTGGTTTTTATCGGAATTTCGTATATAGTTAATCGGGGTCTCCTGCCACTAATCTTTTCACATCTGGTCTTGACTTTCATCTATCTAGCCCCGTTGTTGAGATTAAGGAAGGACAGACAAACGGACGGCAGTGAGAATTTATAGGTCTACAATTTTTTTCAAACTGTAGCCAATTAAATAAATACGATAAAAATAGTTGGTTAATTTTTAACTTTAATAAAAAGCGTTGTGGAATACGACGATAAAATTTAAAATTTGAAAATAAAAATATAGGCCTACTGATCGTTTTTTTTTTTTTGCTATCCCGTTTCAGTGCCTTCTGTGCATTCGTCCTGGGACCCGAGCATCCGTTGCACCTGTCTAGTTACGGCATTGTGTGCGAGAATACATTTTAAAAATTCAAGGGTTGCGGGCAAGTTAAAGGCAAGAAAAAGTTAAGACCAACTCACTGTTCTGATGATATAGAGATTATAGACTTTGGATAAACATTAATTTTATTTCGATCAAAAAATAGTGGCATGAAAGTTTATAAACATTAAAAACTTGGAATTAAGTTTAAAAATTTTAGAAGGAAATTTTAATGAGACTGTTATAACTTTCTAGTTTTTAAAAATTTACCTGTTCCGGGAGCGTAAGCCGGATCCAATGCATCAATGTCGAGACTTATATAAACAGGTCCTTTACCAATTTGATTTTTAACCTCTCTCATAAGAGGAACAAGAGATTTTTGCCAACATTCTTCAATTTGAACAACTCTAAATTTCTGAAACAATAACTATTATTAATTAGAAGTATAATAATAAATTATTCATTTTTTACCTGTTGTCTTGACCATTCGAAGTCGTCAACAGCATAAGTAGTTCCTCTTAGACCAATCTGTACTACTCTTTTACAGTCTAATAATTCTTCTTCTACTGCTCGTCTAAATGTCGTTCCATGAGCTATTTTACAATTTAACATGGTATCATTTATATCAGCATGAGCGTCAACATGAATTAATCCTACGGGACCATAACGTTCCTTTTATTTAAATATTAAATTAGAATATTATTATTAATAAATCATTAATAATAATTTTCAAAATTCACCTTAATTGCTTGTAATATAGGATACGTTATAGTATGATCACCTCCAATGGTTAATGGTCTGCAACCAGTGGATATTATTTTTAACATTGCCTTCTTAATATCTTTCACGGCCTGTTTCAGATCATATATTGTAACTGATATATCACCAATATCAGCAATTTGGAGGTTTTGAAATGGTATCACACCTATGATAGATTAAGAAATTTTAATATAAATTTATATGCAATAAATATAATTAGAAACTTTTATTATAATGAAGCATACATATAATAAAAATTTCTTTAATTTTGAATAAATTTCAATATACATAATTGAAACTGTTGCTACCTGTTGATGCATTACATATCCGAAGAAGAGCTGATTCTGCTCTAACTGCTCGAGGTCCAAATCTACAACCTGAACGATACGATACTCCCGAATCTAATGGTATGCCAACAAAACATGCATCTAATCCTAAAATTAAAAAAACAAAAAGTGAATATATATAGCCTATATATAAATATATACAACTTTACGTCAAAGGAAATTCTTATAATATTCAAATACTTTTATTCTTTCAAACGAATTCGAATGGTGAGAAACGATTGTTTGAAGTTATATTAACTTGTTTTTTTGGTTAAAAAATTAATTAAAAAGGGGGTAATTTTGTCGTTTTTTAGTGAGAAACGAGAATTTTAAAATGTTTTTATTAAACATATCTATTTTCTAGAATATTTTAATCTTAATGTTGCAAATTTTTAATGTATCATTAAAGAGCATATGCTCTTTAATGATTTATTGAAACTGTTAAAGGCTGTTAATGAAACTGTTAATGATAAATTTTTAATGTATCATTAAAGAGCATATGCTCTTTAATGATACATTAAAAATTTATCATCTTTAATGTATCTCTTTAATGTAATCTCTTTAATGTAATAAGGTGTTCAGGAATTCCCATGCTCCTGAATACTTTCCATAACTTGGAGTGATCCACACAATCGAAGGCTTTACTATAGTCTATAAAACAAAAGAAGGCGTCCTTCTGGTACTCTTTTGCCTTTTCTAGAATCCATCTGATGTTGCTAATTTGATCGCGAGTTCCTCTTCCCTTTCTAAATCCAGCCTGTTCCAGTGGCAATTCTCTTTCTAAATATGGCTCAATTCTCTTCTGTATTATTTTTAACAGAATCTTACTTGCATGGGGAATTAGTGCGATTGTTCTATAGTTGGAACATTCTCTTGCATTGCCATTTTTTGGGATTGGTATAAAAATGGATTGCTTCCACTCCTTTGGCCAAACCTTCTTTTCCCATATTTGTTGGCATAGCTTTGTTAGTATTCTAATTCCTTCCTCTCCAGCTGCTTTGAGCAGTTCCACTGGAATTCCGTCAGTTCCTGCTGCTTTCCCAATTGAAATTTGGTTGATTGCCCATTCCACTTCTTCCTTCAAAATTGATGGTTCCAAAGTAAAATGTCTTCCTTCAATTATTTCTTCTATATTATTATCTGCTTTATAAAGCTGTTCTGTATATTCTTTCCATCTTCTCTTTATTTCACTTTCTTCCATTAGATCTTTTCCATGTGTGTTCTTTAAAATACCAAGCCTAGGGGTAAATTTTCCAACGACCTCTTTAATTGTTTTGAAGAGATCCCTTGTACGTCCTTTCGCATTATTTAATTCAATTTCTTTGCATTTATTATTAAAATATTCTTCTTTATCCTTCCTAGCCTGTCTTTGGAACTCTGCAGTTAATTTTTTAATTGTTTGACGATCTCCTATAATTTTCATTTGTCTCCGAGTGTTTGCAATTTCTAAAGATTTGTGTGACAGCCAAGGCGATTTCTTATTTTCCTTCTTCTTCTTTCCTATGCATTTATCAGCAGTATGTTTAATAGTGTTTTTTAAAGACTCCCATACTTCATCAGGTTCCTTTCCTGATGTATTAATTGTTTTGAGACCTTCTTTTATTTCTGAGATGTAAGATGGGGTGATATCTGTAGCATAACATCCCATTATTTCCCTTCCTTTTTTCTTAGCTTTCAAATGGAATGATATTTTTGATATAAGGAGTTCATGATCAGTCCCACAGTCAGCACCCGGTCTGGTACATGCTGATTTGATTGCATTCCTCCATCTCTTGCTACCTATTATATAATCAATCTGATTTTTATAATTTCCATCTGGTGATGTCCATGTATATAGTCTTCGTTTATGTAATTGGAAATATGTATTTGCAATAAAGAGGTTATTTGAAATGCAGAATTCCACTAGTCGTATCCCAGCATCATTTCTTTTCCCAAGACCATATCTTCCAACATGTCCTGGAGTCTCTTCTTTTCCTACTTTTGCATTCCAGTCACCAAGAATAAAGAGTGCATCTTTTTTTGGTAAATTATTAACTGTTTCTTGAAGCTTTTCATAAAACCCTTCAATTTCTTCTTCTGTCGCTTCTGTAGTAGGAGCATAAACTTGAATGATTGACAGATTGACTGGTTTTCCCTGCATCCTCAAGACTATGATTCTGTCACTAACTGGTTTATAACCCAAAATAAAATTTACTAAATTCTTTTTTACAATTAGAGCCACTCCATTTTTTCTTAAGTTATCATGTCCAGAATAGAAGATCCTAAAGTCATTTGAATCAAAGTGTCCCATTCCTATCCATTTAAGCTCACTGACTCCTAACACTTCTATCCCTATTCTTGTCATTTCACTTTTAATTATGTCTAGTTTTCCAGCATACATGCTTCTCACATTCCATGTTGCAAATATGTGTTGTTTGAAGAAACTTGGAACTTTCTTTTCGTGTTTGACTGCATCAATGATTAAACTCCCTTTCAGCTTTGACTTAATCATGCCATTATGTTCAATCTTAGTCAGTGAAGTTCCTTGTTCGTCCCCAGTAGAAGTTAGAGTGCTTTCGAACCCGAAGGTCTCATCCTCCAACACTATATCTCTATTATGAAATTCCTTGTCCATGTAGTTTTCTTGGCAAGAGTTGAGGAAGTGGTTTGCCATTGCCTTCTTCCTTGTTATTTCGATTATAAGTGATAAAATCGCTACTCACCCAAGTTTCCAGCTACTTCATAAGAGTAAAGTCAATGACCGTTTCTATGGCTACGCCATAGAACACATTTTGAAGGTTAGGAAAATTTGATGGAACGGCCATAATTCAAAAACTATAAGGTGTATCGAGATGAAATTTAGCACAAAGTTAATAGTTAATGTCCTCTCATAAACAACCGAATATTTTTCGGAAATAACTAGCAGGAAGCCCACAATGACTTGTCGAATTTTTACCGAAAGTTGTTGAAATCTTCAAAACTGTTACTCCTACAATTCCAGAAATTGGCAAAGGTACTTACAGCACAGATATGATTCAAACACCGTGAAGCCCGTCAGTCTGTCTGCCGACATAATTAGTAATTTATCGCTAAGTTCGAATATCTTTCCAGACGTCATAACTTTTCAACGAAGTATCCAATTTCAAAAACCTACACACCGATAGAACCCTCTTGACTTCCGATTTCAAAAACTGTATAACACTTGTCACTTCACTTAATATTTAATATTAGAATTCAATCCAAAACAGAGCTAAAAATCCTGCTGCTTCTATTTCGCTTTTCAATTTCCGAATTTTTGGTCCATATTTAACAGGAGCAAAATGTCTATGCTCCTGTTAAATATGGACCTGTTAAATATAAATCGTGTTTATGCTCAGTTTAGCTCTCTACTCATCAGTTATTTAAAATAACTGATTCAGATTCAAAAATAATTTTTAAAATATCGTTTAAGGTATTTGAAATTCACTTCTCTGAAATTTTTATTATTAATTACTTTAAAATATATATTATTTTCTATTATTCTATTATGCAATCTGAATAAAACTATAATCGAAGTATTGATTTTTATACTCTTAAATCGTTAAGAAAAATCGCTTACTGGAGAAATATTATTAACAAATATTCTTCAAATACAGTACGTATAATATAGACACTGATAAATATAAATAAAATGAATTTTATAGTTCAGATCAAGTAGATAATAAAATAGCAATCATTTAATCAGAGTGGAGTTTAAAATATATCATTTATATAATACTATAATATAAAAACGTAAGTATAAATACAAGAATATAAATAGCATTATAAAAATATCTATTCATCATTTTAAATCAAAATATTCTTTGATGTAAAATAATTTTCTAACTGTAATGCCTTTTCTAAATTCTTTTTTACCATTTGTCATTGGAAATTTATTATTTTCTTGAATAAAATCTTAGTAAAAATGTATCAATATTTAAATATATAACTACAATATTTGCAATTATTTTGAGTTTTAAGAGTAGTAAATTATAATTACCTTCTGTCGAAGTCTGTAAAGGTAATCTCATAAAAGTAGATATGCCTCCAGCACGCGTCAACTCATTACCCGAAATTGGGTAGTTACGAACAGAGGATAAACAACGACAAATAAGATCTGAGTCTGGCTTAGTTTTTAGAAAATTGAATAGAATTCTTTCGATTGCCATATTTCACTTAAAACGGTCTTTACACTGTAAACAATAATCCGATAAAAGCAATGTAGATGTATTTGATATAGGCTACTGGAAACGTATACAAACTGAATGATTGCGCTTGCGTGCTAAATTACAGAATATAATCTTATACAATAATACTATTTAAATTTATCTTACAAAATATATTTGAATTTCTGTTAATTTAAATTAATTGAAGTACTTACTATAATTTCATTAATTTAAAGTAATTAATTACTATAAATTAATTACATTAAATTAATGAATTTAAATGACTCAATCAATAATCCTTTTTCATTTGTAATCTACTAAATTTTTAAAACAATCATTATTTTAAGTAAAAAAATGTGAATTCACGCACATTAACAATTTTTTAGACGATGTCATTTAAAATTTCTTTTTATACAGATCGATATTGTTGATACAAAATCAGTTATGTATAATTTAGTTAGATCAACCAAACGGATATGAGAAAAACAAACATTAAAAATATGACTGGTATAAGAAGAAGAATTTTTCCATGCAATTTTCTTTTAAAGCGTTTGGCTCAGTGCAGGCGCTGATGTATGAGGCGCCTTTGTACAAGCTGCTTTTCGGTGCCCCTATTCTTTTAGGCCAAAAACAAATTGAATATACATATGTCATATAATATTCAATTTGTTGACATACAAGGAAGACTATATAAAAAAATTTTTTAATTTTGGACTTTACTACGTATTTTGCAAAATCGCAGAAATCACAATACACACAGGGAAATTATTAGAAGCAGAACAACTAGTAATATAACATTTTTGTTACAAGTTTTTAATTAATGGCCAATAAACGATTATACGACTTTTTATTATAATTTATTAGGTGTACTATATAGGTTTTTTTAATGCTGATTATTAAACTAATTTCCAAATTTGACCAGCACGTCATATTGAAATTCTTCTAATATTCACTTACATAAATAAGTTTTGAAAGGAAATTAATTAGAGTGACCATCTCTCTCCAGATTTGGCCCGGACTTTGTGGGTGTTCGCACTTCATCTCCGGACTCCTGGTCTTATGATAATTTTTTGTATAGATTTTTAAGCATTACGAAATAAAACGACCAATTATTTATTGTGACATCGTCACAGTGCCGGGCTGTAATTTTTAATCACATTCTTAATTCATTCAATTTAAAATATATATTCTTGCTCTCAAATTTGTGGTGTCATGACCCTGTACATCATACTTTTCCTGATAATAACAGAATCATGCGGTCATTTATGTAACTCCATTCAGGGGAGAATTTTTGAATTGAAACTCACGTGACTTCCGTTATACACCGGGAGTTACTCTATAGTTAATCAGGACCTCCTGCCCCTAAAATGTCCATATCTTGTCTTGACTTTCATCTATCTAACACCGTTCTTAAGATTAAGAACGGGCAGACAGACAGACGACAATGGAAATTTATAGGTCTATTTAGGTCTAGTTTTTTCAAATTGCAACCCGATAACCAAATTGTCGAGTATTCTATTCCATTTCACATTTCTCTCTTTTTTCCTGCATGTACTGTACAGTACGTATACAATACTCTTGAGAATAAGTAAAGCAAGTTGGATTTAATGCGCTGGAATTTGTTAAATTATTATTATCGCTTCTGTCCGGTACACAGGGTCCCTTAATACATTTGCATATCTCTGTTCCTATATTCGAACTTACCCATCCTCATTCAGTGAAAATCGGGATAAAGCTACCTGTCATGTGACAATATAGTGCGGTTATGGTCACGGGATCAGTAGAGCAAGCACATGTGATGGTCACTTTACTAAAATAAACCAGCAACGAGTTCCTCAACTTTTCCGGCAACATTTAAAATTTTGGTGGTGTCATCTGTTATCATATTTTATTAGTAAACTTTTTATATTTTTAACTATTATAAAATGGCAAAAATCTTAATTTTGAGGGTAGGGATGAATTTTATAAAAAAATAATAATAAATAAAATAATAATATTTAATAATTGTAAATGGACTAATAACGAGTAAAACGAGTGTCATTAAGTCCGACCCTATTGGAGATACACACAACCCCATTATCTCCCCATCCCCTCGACCTTTAACCACCAAAATATAGCAGCATCAATCCCCTAATAAACAAACCTACCGGCAAAATTTCAGAAATTTTCGACAAAAAGCACAGGAGTTAAGCTTCAAAGAGGGTGAATAAAATCGTGCCACAAATACACACTAATATCCATATACAGTATACAAAAATTATCCCCGAAGTTTTTTGCATTTCTCGACTTTTCAAGGTTTCCCTAAATCATACTTTCCCTATTATAACAGCCGGGAAAGTAATAACCCTATAGATATAACTAGTAATATAGATATAAGTAGATATAACTAGTAATATCACTAGCCTAAATATAGGCTATATTTCGGTAATAAATAGCTCATCATAAACTGACTGTTAAGGTAGGACAGAATTGTTCATCCATTTTAGAATTAGTATCAACATCTCATAACACTAAATTATAACAACATAGAAACTATTAGTTAGCGAATAGCATAGGTTAAAAAATAATATTACTTTTTAGGATGAGTACACAAGAATAGAGTACGTCCTTAAAAATGTACGTTGTAAAGCATTATTGTTTTCTATTAGTAATCATATACATTCAACGTGCGTACTTTTTAAGAGATGTATAATCAGTGGTGATATTCAGCGGGTTCGCACAGGTTCGGCCGAACCCGTTGTTAACATTTTCAAAGTTTTCCGAACCTGTTGTTAAACACACGTAACATTTTTCAGTGGTTTTGTTTCTTTTAAAAAATATATTAAAATATATGTATTATACTCTGTAACACTACTAAACTAGAGCCTTATTCCCTGTTCGCCTGGTGCAACCTCCATCGACCGTCTCAATCTCGACTGAAACGAGGTTCAATCGCGATCGACTCGAGAGAGTTCTCGAAACTAGATCCAGTCATAAGAGAGATCCCACAATCCCACGCGCGCGAGAAAATACAAGATGGCTGCGGAGCACGTGTCGGGCTATCAACAGCGAAATAAGAAAGATATTGTATTTCGAGAGACGATGACATCTGTCTATTATTATAATAATACCTAACGATAAAATAAATGATTTAGAAAAGTTTTTCTTGTTTAACTGCTTTCCCTATGACTTTTTCTGATTAAAAAAAAGCCAATTTTTATGTTTATAAAATATTTTGAATGAAAAATATTAAAATATGTACAAAATAAAACATTTTGAACACTCTTTTTTATTATTTATAAAAAAAAATATATATAGTTCTGGCATAAACAATGTTAAATTTTAACTGACTTAATTTTGCGAACACATATTTTTTATTTATATGGGTATCTTAAGGTCTGTTTTTGCGCTAATGTTGCTAATGCACCATTTAAGCGAAAAAAAAAATTAAGGAAAAATTTTCTGTTAGAGAACCCTTTGTTAAATATTTCAAATATCACCACTGCGTATAATACATTATCTTATTGATGTACTCAAGTTACATAGGACGTCAAGACTGGTCAACGAACGTCATTGCATAAATAACAGAAAGTGCAGGTGCGGGGTTGGACTTAATGAATGAACGTTACACTTTGCGCTCGTGTGCAAAGTGTAACGTTCATTTTGTACAAAATATCGAATGATACTGAAATATTAATATGTGAATTCGATAAAAGATCATTATTGTGGGATATTGCACACGAACAGTACAAAATAAAAAAAAACTCAGCGTAGATGGATAATAATTCATCAAAGGAATTTTTAAACATTCTGAAATAAGGGGAAAAAAACTTTTATTTAACAGTATTCTGTAAGACGCTTAAATAATAAAGCTGGCAACATTTGCTCGATTTTCCCGGCTCTCAAAGGGGATTAAGGAAACCATTAGGGAGTCCGATAGTTTTCAATTATACTAGAATATAAAATTTAAGTAATAACAAAAGCTTAAAAGGAGTAATTTCTTTAAATTATGATAAAAATCTCCATTTAAAACATATTTAAGTTTTAAAAACACTACGATACTAGCTCAAAGTTAAGATAATTATATGCTGCCGTCTGTTCTGATATGTTTAAAAAAATAACTTTACATTATTAGAAGAGAGAAAAAAAAAAAACTTAATTTTGCTGGTCGGAATGCGTTTTTAAAAATATTGTAAATGTAATAATAAACTTTTCATTAAGTCCAGCCCCATTCGAGATATGACCCACGATCCCCTCTATCGCCCTCCCTCGAGTTCCTTACTCCGAAATTAAATAGCATCAATGCCCCTGATATGTTACCATGCAAAATTTCGTTTCTTAAACTTTACTTGCATATTAAACGACCCCCACACGAATTTTTTTTTAACTTTTTTGGATTCGGGATCTCAAAACATCGAGATTTGTAAAACACCCGAGATCCAAATTTGACGCAATTACAAGTGCTATAACAACTCAGGAAGCTTGTCTCCCAGCCTTATAGTGAGATGATATCAAATTTGTTGAGAGTTCATTAAGTTTTAATAGCTTTATTAATTTGCTAAATTTTAAATGAAATTTAAGGAATACTGAATTTCCTATTTGTTAAAATAAATTTTATTATCTAATTTTAAAACAACCACATTGTTCATATATATACATATATATATATATCAACTTTTCATTTTTCTATTGAGACTATTGTCTATGATTTTATACAAAATAGTATTAAACAGTAAAGTATTATACAGTAAAGATATAAAATATGGTTTACAAAAGTAATTCATTCTTTTCCTATTTTCAGATTTCTAAGTAAAATTATTAAACAAACATTTACTAAAAAATCTTTAATATTGATAAATATTTACATCTGTTTTTCAATAGAAAAATAGCAAACAGTTCAATTATTATTTATATACAGTATAATTATGATTTATTATCTTCTAATTTTTTAATAATTAATGACAGTCCCTGTCTTAAAGATTGATCTAATCCAACACCTCGTTTCTTTTCAATTATCTGAACTTGCTTTAATAAAATAGGAATCAAATCTGTAGAAAGCTTAGGAAATTGTCCAGATAAATCGTGCATCAGTTTAAAGACACGATTTGTCTTCCATGGTAGATTATGTTGTAAAAATGTTTGTAGAGAAGGTAACAAAAAATCAGTCCTGAAATCTAAACCAAGTTCGTTTTCACAAGTTTTAATCATTTTTAAAATAAATTCCATTAATTGTTGATTTGTTAAATTATCTTCATTTAATAGTAATTGATCCAAAAACGATGGTAGTAACTTTGATATTAAATTCTTTTTCTGTGTGAAATTTATAAAATTAAAAAGTTCGGTAAGAAAAAGAATACTTAAAGAAAAATGTTGATAAGAACTGCTTCCTCTTTTAACAAAATGATCTCTTATAACTTCAATTACAAACACCATAAATTCATCTGCAACTGTAGAAGGCAATTGTATTAAAGTTTTAAGCAAAGGATGAATCTTTGCAGTAAGATTTATTTTATCACATTTTATTAAAAATCGAGGCAAATATTGGATGACAATGTCCTTTAATTTCCTCTGTAAATATGGATCAGTAGAAAAATTAATCTTTGTTAAGCCTCGTACAAATGATGCCATATGTTCTTCAATAGATCCAAGTAGAACAGAAGGTACTTCTTTATTTTTGACATAAATCACATGTGGAAGTATGACAGTATCTATTAAAGTTGGTAATATGCAATCTGGCTTTGACTTTACATATAAAACTGGGGCACAATGTTCAACAAGAGGACTACATAAATTATAAATATGAGAAATCATTTCTCTAGAAATATTAGCAGAAGTCTTTAACAAAACTGTCAATGATAAAACAAAATCTTGTAAAGCATACTGTAAAATATTTTTCAATACTAATTTTTCTTCTGTTGAAAAATTAGGAAATTTGCAACAAAAGTGAATAAATAACTCATCATGCTTTTCACCATGATAATCAATTTGCTTTAAAAAATTAGATGGTTGTGGCAATGAAGTTAATAACCGAGTAAATTCTTGCATTTTTTTTGATGGTGGGATAATACATAAGCAACAACGGAACCATGATCTGATAACAATGTTACATTGAACTGTAGTAAAAGAACCTAAAATTTCTTTCTCTTTTAAGATTATGCATAAATAATCACATATCAAATTTGCATTAATTTTAAAATTTGATCCAAAATAGTTAAATAATTCTGAAAAGTTAAGTTTACTATTTAAAACAGGTATTTTTAGCAAAAATGAAAAGTAAGTTAAAGTAGAGGTAATCAATGCAGTCTGAGGTAAAGGTGAGGGAGTAATTGCATGTCCATACAGAAATGGAAGCACATATTCACATATCATATTAAAAATTTTAACGTAATGATCATGAATGGATGATTGAAATTTAGTAAATATTATATTTGGACATTTGTTTGTTTGGAAAATCAAGTAAAGTTTTTTCAATACAATTTCAATTGTTGATAATAATGGCCCAAGACTATTCCCTTTACATTTAGATAAAAGAATATCTAAACCTTTTTCAAAAAGTAGATATTCAGATAATGTCAATGAGTCACTATTATGTATTACATTTTGAACACCTTCAAAATATGTATTAATGAGTAACATAAGTGAATGCTGATTTTCATTTTGGCTGAAATTAATACAAACTTGATTAAAGTGATCACTTATATTGTTTGTTAAAGGTGAGATGTCGATATTTCGTTCCTGATATATTGCCATCAAAGTGAATATAGCCTTCCAAGAAATCATTTCTTTATTAACTCCCATACTACCCTTGTGAATTGTGACTGCTAAATCACACAATTTTGAACTAATATCTGATAAATCCGTAGTGTCAGCAAGAACAAGAAATAATGTAAAACAATTAAAAATTCCTATTTCTGAGAGTTCTTTCATTCGACGAGAATGAAATTTGCTGTATACTCTACCTTTAATTTGTCGCCAATAATTATTCTTATCACTACCAATTTTGCTTAATTGTAAACTTAGAAGACGTAAAAATATTTGAAATATTGTATCCGACGTTTTTATTTTATCCTTATTATTTACTATTTCTTTAATTTCTTCTAACCACAGCTGACTTGATTTGTTCGTAAAAGCCATTGATTGGATACCAAACTTTAATTGAAAAGACTCATTAATTTTCTTCAAAAAAAAATCAATTATAGGTAGAATAACGTCCATATTTGTTTCCCAACTGCTACACATTATATGACAACAATGAAGAATGCAACATATTTGTGCATCATCATTTTTTTCTAAATGAGCAGATAATGATAAGTTTATTAAACTTTGAATACTAGAATAATTTCTTTGAATTTTAATATCTAAAATATAATTACCAGTAGAATCATATTTATGTAAAGATGTGATATGTGTCAATAACCACATACAAAATCCAATAGGATTAGTACTCTTAAATGATTCAGGTTCTAAAATAAATAAATCTAGAAGAATATCATCATTGTCCACATTAGGTAAAGACAGTGATAATATTCTTTGAAACAAATAATGAATATGGTTCCAAAAGCATTTCTTTTCTTGTTTTTGTCTATAATCCAATAAGTGAATTATCATAATCCAAATTTCATAAATACAGGTGCATGTAAATGGTGTTACAGTTTGATAATCAGATGGCAATAAATTATTATGACAATTTACAGCTACAAAACATAGATCCCATAGTAGTAGTAAAATTACCTGAGAAAAAAAATCTTCACATCCAGGTATTAAAGGTCTCGAATAATCAACCATCAGGTCGAGCTTATTCTTTGTCACAACAGTATCTATAACATACAATAATTCAACGGCCGACCACCAAATATCCAAATATAAATGAAAAAGATGATACGATGCCGAAGTAGAAGCATTGCCATTTTGAGATACTCCCAAACAAATGACATGATTAGGTAAATCACTGATTCGGCCAAGAAACATCAACAATCCTCTCCACTCTTTTAAAAGAACTGTCAACAAATCCAGAAGATTGAAAGTTGAAGATGATGATAAATATTTGTATTTATAACTAGTCAAATTAAAAACAAAAGCTTTCACGTGATGTAAAAAAAGGAAGAAATTCTTTCTGATATGAAAACATTCAGATGAATTTATACCAAATAAAGAATTTTTAGAAACTTGCTGAGTAATAGCCTGCATCATAGATATGTATTTTTTAGCCATTGAGACGATTGATTCCAAATGATTTATGGTAGATGATTTGACTATTGTCATTCCAAATACTTCATAATAATCATCATCATTACTGTAATCATATAATTCGCTCCTTAATAATCTATTAAAATAACCGCTTTTTAAATAACCTTCTTCGTTCAAATTGCAATTCGTCACATTTACAGTTCCTTTGCAAGAGAAACAGCGAAATGTTCTCGAAGTGAATTCTTCCAACGGAGGCGATGATGGAGGCGTAAGAGTTGCAGAATCACTCGTTAATCCCTCCATTTTTACGAATTTTCCAAATATCTGTATATATTATTTTAAACACATTTTAACTTATCTTTACGAATCGCAAACCATATGTACCAAGAGTCGCCATTGTCGATTTTTACCGCCAACGTTTCTTATTAGTCGAGTTTAATCATCTCCCATAGACTTCGATTCGTGTGATTCTAATAAATTAAAAATATCACGTGTAAAGAATTATTTAATAATAATAGTTACAATAAATAAATTTTAAGATACATAGTACTAAATAGTTTTTAAATTGCGCCATCTGGTGTGATACTTATTTAATTTCCACTAAACGAACGTAAGAAATTTACTGATAAATAAATATTTCTCCGAATTAAAAATTATTTGATCAAATAAAGAAAAGTTTATTCTTATTATAAAATAGTTTACATGTTTGTGAATTAAACAAATGCTCTGTCAAATTTACGAGCTACAGTGGTCCTCGTATAACGTACTTAATCCGTTCCAGGTGCACGTCCGTTATACGCAATGCATTTTTCCATAGAAATACATGTTAAAACATATAATTCGTTCCGCAGCATAAAATAACCGTACCATAAAAAAATGAAAATGGAGCAGTCACCAATTATGCCGGGTAGTCAGATGTTGTGAGGAGGTGGAGGAATACTTTTTTCACACATTCATACAGATACAGACTTTTTACACATTGCAGCAAGTCTCTTTTTATTGTTTTTTAATCGGAGTCAGATTTAGAAGAGGCTACAGGAGCTTGCAGGGTCAACTCCTCTTGTTCCATCCTTTGTTTTTTGACAAGCGGGCTTCTTGAAAAACATGTCCAAGGTGGTCTGTTTCTCTCTCTTCTTCAATACTTGTCAAAAATGACGGGCAATGGTGTCATTGTAGAGATCGTTGATCCTGTTGGCCTCAGCTCTGTTTGGATAATGAGTGTTGGTAAACTCCTGAACCTCTTCCCATTTGACAAGGAAATTTTTGTCAACTTTCACTCCTTCTGATGATTTCTTGCTTTGTTTCAATTGAAATCACCTTTCTGTTCTTTTAGAAGCCATGATTTGCACAACACTTGAATAAATGTAAATACTCCCCTGCACTGAGGTGATGTACGTAATAAACAAGAGAGCAAGCCGAATCTCAACGGGAGCTCTGTACTTCAGATATACTAATAATAGAGAGGTTGAGGCGCACGTTTTAAACGTGTAAACGTGTACGTGTGACGTTCGGCGCCGCTTTCCCGTAAGCCTAAAAGTTTGACAATGATGTTTGGATAGTCGGTGGAATCACGCTCGACATTCCAAACACCATCGTCAAAATTCTAGGCTTACGGGAAAGCGGCGCCGAACGTCACACGTACACGTTTACACGTTTAAAACGTGTGCCTCAACCTCTCTAATATATTCTAATAATACTAATATATTATAAAAATAGCAGATTGTCATTGGCAACGGCAAACGAGTGGAAACATCACTCGCACTTGTTCGCAGAAAGTCCGTTGTTCGCAGCCAGTCTGTTGCTCGAGTCACGTAACGGCCAAACAGAAAGTCCATTGTTCGCAGCGTCCATTCTACGAGGCACCACTGTATATCCGTAGAATATGCAAATTTTAAATCAGACACTACAGTATTAATTTGAGGTGAAAAGCATATATTTTAAATGAAATAAATTAAAAATTGCAGCCCGACATTGCGACGATGTCACAATAAATAATTGCTCGTTAATATCGTATTTATTAAACATAAAAAAGCCTACGCTCGCCGAAACATTTTAATTCAAACAAAAACATCTGAGATTAAAAAATTATAACAATTTAGATGACATCCAAACTTTTTCATAAGGGTGTAGACAGCTGGGCGACGGTCAAGAGGACGACAGTTTTCAGCGGCCGGGTAGTGAGGGATGAGGTCTGACATATGCAGACGGATCACCCACGAAAAGACATACCGGACGGACCACCCCCCGAAAAATTCCTGGAATTTTTCGGCCCGTCCGGATTTGATTCCGGTTCCCCAGAGCGGTTGGCTGCTGCTTGACTGTTCGGCCATCCAGCCGTCAATATAAATATGGTTAAGATTTATAAGTCATACCTTATAACTCATAAGTTATGACCTATGACCTATGTGTTTTGAATTATTTCCATCTAGGAAGAAGAAATGTTTTGGAACAACGCACTGTAGCATCGTTAATTATTGTATGCCAGAAGCGGTCAACAAAGCTCATCAAAGAAAGTCAGTTCTTCGAAAATAAATTCTTTCAAAGAACTTTTATACTCTTTTGTATTAATGCATAATGTAATGTATTTTTAATTTTATGTAACTGTTCTCCATGTTTTTATGTATATTTGTTAATTTTGGAGGGTAGATATCAACTGTCCTTTGTAACTTTTCTTGTAAACTTACTTGTAAAAATAAATAATGTAACATGTATAAATATGTTTGTTAATTACAAAATCGTTTTTTAAAACTCGTTTAACTGTTAATAAGCGTGTTTCAATATCCAAGATTATTTTTGTAATTAATCAAATGTCATAATGCTGTGCATCAGATTTTGAAATACAGTACCAAACCATCAATTTTTCTTATTTTGAGACATTTGATTTTGCATTTCAACAGATTTAAAAGTATTCTTAAGTGCTGATAAGTTTAAAATTATGTTTTTAAGATCTTAGACATATAAAAATTATCACATTAATAAAATTGTATAAGCATTTTCTAAGTAAAATAATGTTTTTGTTGATTGCAAATAGACTAAAATTTCGATAATTTATTTTTGAAATTTGTTTAATTTAATATAATTAAAATTATTTGATTACTATTTAAGAAGTGTTATTGTGATTATTGTATTTGTGCTACAATTATGTGATTCAGCATGATTCTTATAGTAGATATGATTGATATGAACCAAACACATTCAATAAAATATATAACGTATAATTTTATATACTCTGCGTTGCAGTTTTATTCAAACAACAGTAGCCAATATTTCTTAATTACAGTATTTTCCATGTTAATTGACCCCTTTGCTAAATTTCTGGCTGCATTACTGGGTAGTATAGACTCTAACTTAGAAATTGACAAAAAAATTGAAATATTACATAAAATTAAAAATACAATATTGTGAATTTTGAAAATTTTACAAAATAATAATCTCTCTATGACTCATCTTGTTGAAATGAGAGCTTAATAGTTCCAATGAACCATAAAGTGATGTTAGCAGACTATAAATTTCCAGCAGGACCAACCACACCAGCAAAGTCTATGGGGAAAAATAAAGCAGTGTGTATGCTCACAAGCAGCTTCTAACCCATGGGTGTCTGCAAAATAGTTTGTCAAAATATCTGTTTCTCATGTCAGGCAGCTGAATTATAACTACCCAGCTTTAGGTATATAAGCATCCATGTCTGTGGAGATAATAAAAGTGGTTGTTTCAGGTTTACAGTGTGATGTTAGTACATATGTCATGTATTAACAAGGTTCTTATTCAAAGATTAGGTAGAGGTTCATATTCAAAAAATTTGCATCTTCCTTGGCCACCAGTAAGAAATGCAGCACTGACCCAAATACAGCTACTGCATCATAAATGCCACCACCTCACTCATACAAAATGGACAGTGCCCACTAATCAGGCCAACAATGCTTCAGCAACAGTCCAGCAACTGATCATCAAGGCAGGAAAACCATGCCAGCAGATGAAGCAGACTCAAGAAAGAAATGAAATCATTTGTACTCTGATACAAAACATGAGATAGATATGACAGTATGCAGATACATAACAAATTCATACAAAAATATACCCATATCTCACTGTTACAAATAGTTGTTGATCAGAAAACAATTATACGTAACCACCTTATTCCACAAACAATGCTTGATCTCATCACACAAGTTGCATAAAAGATACACTAACACAGAAACACTAGATCACATGGAAGATCAAACTCTACACCAAACATTTTACATACACAAACAATCCACATAACATGCCAAAATTTATTACATAGGGTATCACATACATGAAACCCAAAAATGACTATACCAGAGATCCAACACAAAAGACCAATACATCCCTACACTACAAAATTCTCACTTCATGCATTACAAACATAATATACATATCATGTAGAACAAAAATGCTTTTGTATAAACCACATGAGATGGAAAAAAGTTACTTATAAATTTTGTCATTCTACAAGCACACAAACAGAAAACTATACATGCCATACATAAATTACAGGAAGGTATTTGACAGTATCCCGCTCATAGGTTTTGCACACATTACAATTGTACAAAATGAATCCAACACTCATTACTATAGATTGACAGTAGTTAATATATAATAGTTAATTACTAATCTAAATTTCTAGTTAGTTTCAATTACTTATTAATTTTCCTTTTAGTCACTTCCCAAAAATATTGCTTAGGAATGATCTATTGTAGATTTATTTATCAAAATGAACATTTCTTGCTTTTTGTGATCAATTCAATTTTTGGCAAAGATAAGTTTGGTTTAATTTTATGCATATTTTGAACAAGTATAGCATTTTTATATTGTTAATTGGTCATTTTTGTTTCAATTTGACATTTAAGTTTTGCTATCTTTTGCCAAAAGAAAATACATGGCTTGTTATGTACATATATTTTTATTTCTTTTTTCATATAAAATCAAGAATTTGGAAAAGTTAGTTTGAGTATGTTACACAACTACCAGTGTGTAAAGAATGCATTTTTAGAATAAAACACTATCCATACCATCATTACTGCAATGGAATACCTCTTTTTCTTGTCAAGACAAATACTTAGACAATGCAGTGTGTAAGATGAAAAATTTGCATTCTTGAGATATCAGTTTAAAAAAAAGAAACAAGAGTGTTAAATAATGAGGATGAAATGAAAATAATTCTTATGTTAATCCAGTGTAGTTTTTTTTTTACTTTTGAGTAGTTTAAATGTAGCTAACTAGTAGATATAATTTATAAAAGTATATAAAAATTTTATTTTTAATCAAATAATGTATTATACAATAATTTAATAAACAATTTTCAGACATAAATATGCAAAAAGGATATATATAAACTAATGTTAAAATTCTTAATGAACATTACACAATACAATTATCATCATTTGCTTTTAGAATATTATTATTCTACCTAAGATTAAATTCTTATATCACAATCACATACTGTTTAATATCTTGCATGAATAAGTTTTGTGAAGATTTTATTTTATATGTATCTGTCTGTTCACCTACATTTAAAATAAGAGTTTTATTTATACAATTCTGATGATGAAGTGGAAAATATTTCATTTTATCTACTTCAACGATGCTTGTTCCAATGAAATGACAGCAGTAGCAAGTTCATTGGCTTTGTTTACTCCAAACATAAATGTCTCAACTAAAAAATACAAAATATTCATAAATAAATAATGTTTAATCATTCCTAATATATAAATGTAAATTAGTAATTAAAAATAATACTTACTTCCATTAGATTTAGCAATTTCTTTCATTTTGTCTAAATAATCAGAAAATTCTTTTAATTTCTCTTTCATAACTATTTGGTCATCTAATTCTTGTTTTAAAATTGCTTTCTTTTGTTGATTCTAAGAAAATAATAATAATAATAACATATATGCTATTAGGTAATTATTATTATGATTATCTCTTATAGTAATATGAAAATGCAAAATCTACTTGAATTATTTTCTGTTTTAATGTTTCAATTTCTTGTGAGAGATGGTTATGATCTTCAACAGAATGAGAGTTCTGATGAACAGAATCTTCTGGTAAAATTACATTTTCAGGAATATGAAGAACATTTGCCATTAAATATACCTATATAGAAAAGAAGATAAAATTATTTTTAATAACTGAAACTAAAAGTTTGTTTAATATTGTTGTAAACACTTTGTTTACAAAGTTTACTTTATAAACAAAGTCGAATGGGCTCAATTCAAACTCCAAACGAGACAGATGGGACCTTATCAGAGCCGGAGAGCATACCCAAAGGAGCAAAAAAGTCAAAGGAACCATACCTCTACAAACGACCCTTGCCGAGATATGCCCTCTCAAAAACAGGTTGCACAAGATCGCAAGTTGCATCACTCCACTAAGACCATTGCGTTTAACCATTTAGACCAAACGACCGTACCGGCTTCAAGTAGCCCATTCGACCGTTCGCGGAGTACTCGACCCCACCCGGGTATTGACGTGCAAGCAACAGTGAGCACTGAAGCACACAACTACATGCAGAGCATTGGTCAAGGCTCGCCTTGACAACATGGAGAACGGAGAATAGGCAGTATACCAATACACATTAAAAACTGACCTTTGGAGGAGAATATCTTGCAAAGGGTATGGTTCCTTTGACTTTTTTACTGGTACAGGGGATGTGCAATTCTCAGAAGTGCAAAACCCCTCATTCAGAGCTTATATCTTACCGTAGGACGGATTATGTTGTATTATTCATCGAATATAGATATAAAATTATTGAGATAATTCCAAAATAAATAATTAGGTGTTTCAAAGAACATGATAATTACCCATTAATTATTAATTAATTAAATTAACAACTACATCACATTTATTTTTCTTGTCATATTATCTTAAATTAATTTTTTTTAAATCTGCTTACTTCTAATTTATCAAAGGCTTTATTTAAGTATTCTGTCAGACGTTGGTGAATAGACTCTGATCCGACTTTAATCTCTTCTTCTGTCATTACATCGCCATACTAATTATAATTCAAACAGATAAATATTTAACTCGTATTCAAAAATTATTCAGTTCTTACAAAGCATTACCTTCTGCGAGAGATGTTCTTGAACTTCGCTCAGCGAATTCCGAGTGTAATCATAAATCGCATTATACACTAGAAAAAGAAATGAACGTATATTAATATGTGCGTGTATTTCTGAGGAGATATTACCTCACAACTTACTGCCATCGGTAAATGCTCTAGTAGGAAAGCCAAAAAACTGAGCTTCGTATTCTGCCTCGTTAAACTCTTGAATTACCGATGTCGAAAGATTAGAGTTCGATAGATCTTCCATTTTGAATCAAAATTTCCGCCTTTTTATCTTTAGTGTTGCCAAATCGCAAAACTTTTTTGAAATTAATTTTAATTTTATGCTATTTTAAATTCTGACTTCTTACATTTTATCCCTCTGTTTAATTAATTGATTTATATACAAAATTGTAATTCAGAAAATATCATTATTTATCAATAAAATATAATTATGTCGGCAGGATGGAAGCAATTATTTTTGAAAAGGAGTCACACGAATTTTATCCGTAATTTAACAAGTTTATCTTAAAATATACTTTTTTTAAAATACAAGTTTAATAAAAAAAAAAAACGGCCGAATAGCCGAGCGGTTAATTAATCCTACCGGAGCGATGTCAACCTACTGCTTTGGAACTCAAGAATTTTCGGGGGTTAATATCAAACTTTCGATTTTTATTTGGAAACCTTTTTAGACGATTTTTTTATTTTATTTTTATTAAAAGATAATTATTTCATATTTATAATTTAATTATTAATCGATTATTGTTTTGTATACGTACTGTACTAAAATTTTATGGGTTGGCAACGTGTTTTATTTATGAAAATTATCACGATGAGATCTTCAGAGAGGAAGATTTAAATTACTTAAAAGCATTTTGTTTAATTCGTAGAAAAATATATAGTGAAATGTAAGAACATATTTAAAAATAGGTAATTAAGTTTGGCCACAAAATAAGAATGTATTAATAATTAATTAATTAAATTTCAGATGCGTATACTGTTATGCCAATAGGGTGAAAAGATAAAGATTAACCCAAGTCAGTTTCAATGTCGTCAGAATCAGGATCTTGACTACCATCTTCTGGTTTAAAAAAGCTGGGTATGATACTAATTAATTAGGTCAAACTTTATCTACGTGCATCGTCATGGCCGCACAGTGGGGACCCACATTCTGACCTAACCTAACTAACCTATTCTAATTAATTACCGATAATTTGGTAATTTATTAGAATAGGTTAGTTAATAAATTACCAAATTATCGGTAATTTATTAGAATAGGTTAGGTTAGAATGTGAGTCCCGCTGTAGCCATGACGGTGCATGTAGGTAAAGTTTAACCATTAATTATAAATGTAAAACCTATCATCACACTCTAAACATACCCACATATATTCCTTATCCGGTAATTGTTTATAAGCCATACACCAATATTTTCTCACTTAATTTTACAAAGGAGACATACATACTAAACATGTCCAAAACACAGAATATTTGAGTGGCCACTTATTTAAAAAATTCTATAAACAAAAAAATCATAGGACTACTAACTGACTCTGCATCATTCCAGCCGTCATTGCTTCAGCTTGTTTTCTACCATTTTAAATATAGCTATAATCCATATAATTAAGCTCAGTATTTTGAGTTTTACTAATTGCCCTTTGGTTGATAAGCTCTCAACTTTCCCGTGCTAGGAATTTGACAAATATTTATAATTTTATTTATGAAAATGTTCCCATGAACCTTGAAATGCTGTCCAACTTGGCAATTTTAAGTGATAGAATTTTAATTAAATTTCTCACCTGTCATTCTAAATTACATTACCTCATATAGTACAGTATTTTAACATGTTTCCCTTGCTTTTCCATCCAGAATTTATTTCAGACTGAAATTTGTTTTTAACAGCACTTTTGTTCTTTGGGATTTATTTGATTATCAGGCTTCATTGAGGAAACATGATAAATGATAAAAATATATTTTGAAAATTGCAAAAATAATTACAAATATTCTTGGAGTATCTCTACTATTACAAGTGTGTGTAAAGAAATGGTTCTTTTATCTAATATTGTATGTGATTAAAACTATTATTGCAAATATGTTAGGATATAGTATTAATGACTGTTGTTAAAGAAAAGAAAGAAAATAAAAAATATTTTGAGATTTCTACTGTCAGAATAGTCAGGTAATAAAACAAAAGCACAAATCACTTTAATAAAACTCAATGGGATAGAAATATTGTAATATAGAATACAATTATTCTGGCTTAATTCAGATTTATAGTTATTATTTTATGCTGGTAATTTAATTCACTTAGGATCAGTTGATTATAAAGAACTTCTACATTACTTTTGTAAACTGAAAAACAATTTATAACAAAAATATTTAAAAAATTAGAATGCATATTACGATTCTAAATAAGCTAGATAATCTGATTTTCTTATATTTTAATATTTTCAGTTTTGGTATTGTCATATTTTTTAATAATTAAAACATTTTATTTTCAGATTTCAAGCATGATTTAGTAAATTTTACTGAAATATGAGCATCTTGCAGTTTTTTAAGAAGAAAAAAAATGAAGTATCAGAATTTTCATGTACTTCTAGTAATACTAACTCATCAAAAAGTTCCTGCTATTTTGTTGCACATAAATATTCATCCACAGTAGAACACGATGATGATGATGATGGATTAGGAGAAGCAATGACATTAAGTCTTAGTTCTCGACTAAAGTTAAAACGAATAAGGAGTTCTGAAGCTATTAATGTATCAAAAGAGAAGAAAATATATAATGAGATAGAAAAAGAAACTAGCTTAGTATCTGAAGAAAATAAAATTTTTGCAAATAATTTATTAAAAAAAAACATGTGCAATTCTGAAAATGTTACTGAAGAAAATACTGCAATGAGAAAACATTCAGAATTAGAAAACTCTCCTGTGAATAAAAATGATAATCATGAAATGGATAACATACCTTATTATTTGAAAAATTTTAAATATATTTTGGATTGTGTGTTTCAAAATGAAGATTATGCTAGACTTTTTAATGAAGAAGATCAAATTATCATACAGAAATTTAACAGTTTATCAGGTAAGAGTTATTTGGATTTGTAATTTAATAAGAATAGCTTTTTATCATCCTGCAGAAAAATATGTATAAATCATTAAGTTTTTAATAAATATTTTATACAAATCAACAGTGCTATGGTATATACAAGTGATATGTTTTTAATCCATAAACTGTTTAATAAAAATTATTAAAATGGAACAGATATAACAATATGTAAAAAGTTTCTTCTTCTAGTTATGAAACTATAGTCTATTTATCCTAACTTGGCAGCTACTGTAAACAAAGATTCTGTCATATTAATCCGCCGAAGATTTTCATTGGTCAAATCACAATCGGAAGTGGCTCGACACGTGTTGACCAGTTAAGCCCCTTTCTCTGCACGTGTTAAAGTAGGTCAAAGTTGTCACAACAATTTAAAAATTACCGAGATAATACAATACTTAGAAAAGTTATTATAGCTTACTTTAACATTTTTACGTAGCCGTTTAAATTATTTCCATCGTTTAAATATAGTTTGTCAAAAATTATTATTAAATATATATTATTAAGACTTACAGAAAACATGTATGAATTTATCTATGTTATATTTATATAAATAAAAATTTTTTAAAATAATTATAGTGTAAACTTACCTTATTAATCATCTGTATCAGAACATAGTTGCTCAAAGTAATCATTTATATCGCTTTCGTCACTACTTGTGTTAGACTGAATAATCAGTTTTTCTACAACAGTTTCTGAAATCTCATCAAGTTCCCACATTCGTTGTTCTTCTTTTTCTATATGTTCAATACATTTTCTCCATCGTTCTTCATTTATTTGTTCGATAGCTTCATTCATTAAAATTCGCACATCCGACAGTTTGAATGTTGTGTTGTGACGTGCGATGTAACCTTTCATATCTGCCCATATCAATTCAATAGGATTTAAATTACAATGATACGGAGGTAAACGTAACACGTCGATACCTATTTCTTTGGCCATTTCGTCAATAATATATTTATCGTATTTATGTTTTATTTTTTTAACAATATCCAAAAGTTCTATTTTCAACATTTTGTCGTTATGACGAACCCTATTTTTTTCCAACCAAGAAATTATGTCAGCTTTTTTCCAACTACAATTTGGAATCTTCTCAATTTTAGCTGAGTGATATGGAGCATTGTCCATGACAACAACAGCATTACTTTCTAATTTTGATAATATTTTTTCAAACCATTTTTTGAAATTATTGCTATCCATTTCTTCATGGTAATCTTTTGTCGACTTTGATTCAAATTCATACAGACCACCATTCAGAAAACCTGTATTGCTGCCTATATGAACAACAACTATTCGTTTCCCCTTTCCAGAAGGATTTTTCAATCCAGTAGATCGTCCAGACATAAAAGCTTCGCGATAAGACGTAATTGAACAATCCTTCCATACTTTATTCTTGGTATGGCCCGCATTAATCCATGTTTCGTCCAAATAGTAAATTTTACGGCCTAAAGAACGCATTTCTCTTATTTTTCGTAGATATTGTCTTCGCCATAAAATGATATCGTCTCTTTCAATTAATCTACTATTTCTGTTTCGGTTCGTATATTTAAAATTAAGTAATTTTAACAAATTATATATCGTAGATCGAGTAAAGTCTGGTAAATCTGGATCGTCATTAACAGCCTGTAATACCTTATCTACAGTAGGTAATTCGTTTAAAAAATAAAAATTGTGTACTTTACCTCTAATGGCACATTTTGTGAATTCGTCATATTTGTCAACGAGTTGAGTACGCTTACGGGTTTTCGAAGGAGTTATTACTTTACCATTAGTAAAATATTCTTTACGAATTCTGTAAATGCTCCGTTCTGATATCCCTGTTGTCTGTGCTACCATTTTCACTAAATCCTTCACGCAGACTTCTGGATTCGTTTCAGTTAAAGAATTAAACAAATTTAATACTATTTGTTTATCCGAGCTCCTCAGCGATTTTCCTTGCCGATGTTTAATCGTATTTACATTCAAGTTTTCCATTTTTGTAATTCAACAACACAATTTGAAATAACGGTAGTTATTGCAATGAATGGAAAAAGAAACAAAAACATTATAGTGCGCATGACCGGAAAAAGTTTATTTCTAATGATTCAGAATGTGCAAATATTTATTAAAATAACAACTTAACAAATATGAAATAATAACATTTATAATCATTGCTAAGTGAATAGCATTTCATTAATGATTTTATAAATAACGAAGAACTATTTTCTGCGGACGAATGAGATGCAATACGATTTTTAATTGATGGACATGGGTTTAAACCAATAAACAAAGGGAGGTGTGTCTTAGTTTGTTTACAGTAGCTGCCAAGTTAGGATAAATAGACTATAGTGATCTTTATTATGTCTCTCTTAATTATCCACAATATGGAGACCAAGATTAAGACACTAGTTAAAATAGGCAAATAAAATGCAGTGTTTTAATCTTGGTCTCTGTTTATTGTTGATGCAATGAAGAGGTGATATAGATATGATAGAGATAATTAAGAGAGAGGTGATAATGATCACTAGTCTCATGATTGAAAGTGAAAGTGATATATCAGATCATGATATAGAGCAAGCATATACACATCCATGTTGGTTGGAGTACATTTATTGTAAAAAAACCATTATTTCTGCTGAAGTTTATTATTATGATTTATTAATCATATGATAAAATAGTAACATATTCTATATTCATATATACTATACATTATAGATATTATAAAAATAAACTTTTTATAACTGAAAAGTTATTTTAACTATAAAAAATATTTAAAACTTTGTAATACAAGGATTACTCTTAAAGTTCTGGATGTGGAAAATGTATTGGGTATACAGCAACATGAACAACATTGTGTATGTAAATCCAATTCATGATCATCAAGAGATCATGAGTCATTTATTCTGTCACTGCCTGCAAGCACATGAAATGGAAGTGGTGCCATTTTGACTTGAAGAAACAATGGAGGTGACTGATGAGAATTTTTGGGTGATGATGATTTATGTGAGAGCTGAATTTAATGGGAAAAAATTTAAGAAAACCTCTATTATAATCATTATAAAGTTCTTGTTCAAACTAAGATAACTGTTCCTTTCAAAAAATCACTGAATAACTTTGCGATAAACTGTTTCCCATGGACTTAGTTCCTTATTCGGAGTGACACATTCAATGTGTCACATTGACTCAACGGGTGAAACTTGTTGATTAGACCCAAAATACTAAACCTCTGAGTGAGTTAGTGGAAAAAACCCAGAAGAGACTCCCATATAAAAAAGAGGGGGCGATGACGCTTGAGGCTCTCTCGTCATCAATTGCAAACTCTTTGGTGTGTGTGTGTGTGTGTGTGTGTGCGCGCATCCCATTGTTGCTGTTCCTGTACTCAATCTGGATTATTATCTGAACTCCAACTGGATTTATATCTTTATTACCTGACTCTAAGGATGCGACTATGCAGACGCAAATTTAGAGCGAGCGAGAGGTTGCGAGCGATTTAGTTTTCGCAAAGGAAAACCATGCACAAATGAGAAGTGAGAAATAACGCTAGCGAGAATGAATTTCTGGTTTTCTCACTTATCTGACAGGTTTTGATATTTATCGCGTCTCGCCTCTTCTCGCCACATATTCTCACTTTCTCGGAAAATTCGCTCGCTCGCGTCTGCATAGTCACACCCTAACCCTTCAGAAGCTAATCTCAACAAAGATTCCTACAGAAGACCTACTTGGACTACAGCTATTTGTCGACGTGCAAATGTTTTGTAAACTCTCTCTCTCTCGAGCTGTTAAGATTCCTTTGAACTCCTTATTAATAAGTGTCTGATAAATAATGCTGTAAATCATCTTCCTGAATAAACGGTACTTGTTACATGAATAACCTTGTGGAGTGCAGTTCTTCCAGGTATCACCCCTCATCTCCATTCCAATATATGCAACCAATTCCTTAGCTTCCACAAACATGACCACTTGCATGACAACTGACTTAACAGTCATCGAAATTTCTGTGTTCAACTGACACGGTGGTGTCCATCCTGACAGGGTGCCAAAGAGGTACCAACCTCGTGGTCACAATTTATGATTTTAAATCTAGTTTGTCTAAGTCAATGTCTCACATATGTTTGCAATGTCCAAGTCAGGTTCACACTCATGATTTCTTATCATTTAGTGTTTTCTGAATCTAGACATGCAAAAACATTTGTTCTTTAATTAAGATGCACTTTACCATATCTCCTTAAACCTTTTTCTATCAGAAGAAACTGTTATTTTCTTGTTTCTCATTTCTCCAGACACTTGTCAGGACAGGACTTTCTTTTTGTGGTTCAGTAAACTTTGGCATGGCAGAATGAGTCTGAAAGATAAAGCTAGAAGTAATTGTCCCTCAATTGTACCTAGGTTATAAGTTATCTGGTGGTCATAGTCAGGAAGGATACCCAAATAACTTATAGGAAGATTATGAACACCTTGCAATTGAATCATCAGTGTGTGCATGAAATTATGCATGCACGCACACACTTTTTCCTAAGGAATGTTTCACATCACTGAGTGTCACATTCTCATTGAAGAGCAAAAGAGGTTCTTGTGGAATGGTGTTATGAAATGATTGAAAAATTTTCAAATGGAAAATCAAAATGTTTCTGAAATGGCATTACTGGAGATGGAACATTTGTCTATCAGTAAGACAGAAACAAAGCAGGAAACTCAAGTTTTGGATTTTCATGATGAGGAAGTTCCTCTGAAGATTAAGCATCCAAGAAATGTTGGTCAACAAATTGTTACCATGTTGTTTGGAAAAACTGGACATATTTGCTCCATTTTGCTGGTGGGAGAAAAAGACTGTTACTGCTGAATAGTGCACCACTGTTTGCTTAACCAAGGCCTTTGAGATTTGCAAGAGGTGACTAAAAACCAGACTGTGAAGTATTAATCATGAAAACACATCTGCCCAAATGGCCATGAAGATCATTGAGTTTCTGAATGAGTAAAAATTACAACTGGTATATGATTTATCCTTTAGTCCTGATCTGGCAACTTACAACTTTTTCTTTTCAAAAGCAAAGGAGGGCCTCTGTGAACACCATTTGGGTTGCCAGAAGTTCCTGTAAATGTATAAAGAGATTGGTTGGTGGCAATTCCTGAAGAAGAATGGTCTCTGTGTTTCCAGTAATGGTTTGACCAGAACAACAATTGCATTCAGCACCATGGAGACTACTTTGAGAAATTTTGAATCTGAAAAGTTTTATGCAAAACTTTCATGTATCCAGAAACATTCCAGTGACCTTCAAAATTATTACAATTATTAATGTTATAATGAAATACTGTATTAGCATTTAGAAATTTTTGTTTTAGTGCTTTTATGAAATTTATTAATAATTTATAATCAGTATTATTTATTCTCGTAATTCATTTACAGATCCAGAACAGAAATTATTTGTTCGACTATTTCAAAGAAAGAATAAATGGTTTCGATCTAGTAAATTAGATTATTCAGAAATTGCAACTAACATTAAAGCAGTTTTACATAATTTGTACATAAATAATTTTTTGTTAGATGGTAAGTATTTTTATTCTGAAATTTATAATAATAAATATATATAAAATAATTAAAAAAAAATGCTAAATTATTTCATAATAAGAATACTGTTTCTAGATTATGCAGTTTTAAAAGTTAAAAATAATTTTTATTTTTAGTAAATATTTAAAATATATATTCTCTACATCAGATTAGTAGTGTCTTGCCGCTGTATATTATACTTTTCCTGTAAGCAATTGTGTCATGCTGGTCATCTATCTAACTCCTTTTGGAGGAAATTTTTGAATTTAAATAACATGATTTTGCATTGGACATTTGTATATACTTAATGGAGTCCCTGCTCTTAAGCATTTCATATCTGGTCTAATCTTTCATCTATCTAACTTTACTCCAGAGATTAAGGATGGACAGATGGATGACAGTGGAAATTTATAGGTTACAATTGTTTCAAATTGCAGCCCAAAAACAAAATAGAAAAAAGAAGGATATCTAGTTATGTGACAGTCTAAATGACTACAAGTAATTATAAGTCATGTAATGATCAAATCAACTGAGATAGAATAAACAAGATGTGATTCAAAAACAAATTCATAACAGACAAAATTTAAAAGAAAGAAAAAAAAAAATACATTTTTTTATTTGAAAAGGAGCAGCTAGATATTTTAGATACAATGAAAGATGTGTAGCTGCAAAAATAAAAAATGCATGGTTATTTGGACCAATATGCAACCTCAAAGGTTAAAGAAGTAATTTCAATACAAACATGAACATTTCTGATAACCAATTATCAGAATGTAATAAATGTATAGAATGTTATTTGAGTTACAGTAGAGCATTGTTTATCCGAATCAGTTGGGGACTAGGGTTGTTCGGATAACTTATTTTTCGAATAACCAATTATGTACGAAAAAATATATTAACCTATCCCATGTTGAAATTTTTCTCTGTTGTGTGTCGCTTTGTGTTGAATTTTTGTCAATGTTAAGCCTAACGAAAACTTTCTAAAATAATAATTGTGGCTATTGTATCGTTAAAAATTATTTTTTTATTTTGTACAAACAAAATAAATATATTGAAAAATATAAAAACCAAAAAAAATATACTTAGAAGTTGATCTAGTGATAGTATCAAAAACGTTTGATTCAGCACGACACACAGTCCTCAGAAAAACACCACTCAAAAGTGCCAGTGCTGCCAGCTAAAACACACACATCAATAAAAAAAATATTGGAGTAGCGCCACAGCACTAGCGAAAACTTAAATTTGCCAAATGGAATGCTTTCGGATAACCAACGCTCTACTGTATTTAACTTTTTAATTTATTCTTAAACTGAAATCAATAATTTAGAATCATATAAAATGTTAATATAGTATATTGCTTAATTATTTCAGTTAAAAATATTGATGATGTAGAATGTGCATTGAACTTACTAACAATTCCTGAATTGAGAAATCTTTGTAAAATGTTCCAAATAAAACTTTTTCAAAAAGGAAAAAAAGAAATGATAGCCACATTGATTAAACAAGGAAGACAAAATAGATCAATTTTTTCATTTGGAGATATTACTAATGTACTTCTAAAAAGGTATTTATACTTTTGACAATATTATAAATTAATGTATACAAATAAGCAAGTAATTACTGTATTTACTCTAAGATGCATCTTAATTTCTACATATGCACTGATGGACTTTTTAATTGACAACTTGAGAGAAATTTAAGTCAGCAGAAATGTTCAGTATTTATTACAAGTAAAGTAACTTATGTAATGGAAACTGGCTTCACAGTCAGTCATTTAAGTGGTCATCTCTCTGTAACAGCCAGTTTTTGAAAGTACTGATTTTTTGTTCTATTGATTTCAATGAGAATGTTTGTCGATTGAACATTTGAATGCTTAATTCAGCCAGCTGTCAGCAATTTGCTGCACATTTTTTAAGTTAAACTAGGTAGCCAGTTAATTAAAACTAAAAATAATTAAAACTCTGGCCTTTCCACCAAAATCAAACCAAATTTGTTGAAGAAGAATTAGCCATTCACATTTTTTGTGTGAGAGTTTAATGCTTTTTCAGAAAATTAGTTTTTCTTACAGAAGAAAAATTAATTTTTTAGATTTTTTATGCAGAAATTCTAAAAATATGTTTTTAAAATTAAATCAGTTACAATTATGTATAATCTAATAATTAAAAGTAATAATAAGTAAACTTTTATTTTATACAAATATATTTATTACTAGCTGCAAGGACCCGCTTCACTGGGTTTTTATTTGTGGGCAAAAAGTAACGATAGTGAAGATTAAGATAATTACATTATAGCCAATCTTACCCGTTTTCACAGAATGCAAGAATTAGGTCCCCTGTTTCCAGACTAATTAGAGAATTTTTACGTCCAGTCAAACGAACTATTTTCAATTTGATCAATTTTCTGGAACGTTTACAATCATTCTATAACCGAACCAATTCGAATATGAATTCAAATTCGAAAATTTTTAAAATCGAAATAGAAAATCTTCCACTTTCAACCCCACTTTCAAGCCCATATCTCCCACACCCTTATAGCTATCCTGCTAGAAATTTACAGAAGAGTAAACTGGAAACTGAACCATACTCAACAGCATATGAAATTTAAATCAATAATTCTTATTGAAATTCATTTCATACATTAATTACAGCAATTGATTATGTATCACAAAGAGCTGACTAAAGTTTCAGAGAGTTGTCAAAGCTTATCAAATGCAGTGTTCAATGGAGTGACCATTGTGCAGAATCAAAAGCTGATACTGCAACAAAATTTATGTTTAAATTTTTATAAAATTTTCAATTAACTAGAAAACAACAATCAGAGGGTTTTATGAAATAATTTTAAAATATTATTATTAATTATTATTACAGTAGAGTGTCGGTTATCCAAAAGCATTCCAGTCAGCAAATTTAAATTTATGCTAGTGCTGTGGTGTTGTAGTACTCCCCTCTCCCTGCCAACCTAAACT